GCTTATCCAATATGTTGGCGAGAGCACTTGCGAGTAGACTGACCTTCTTCGTGTGGCCGGTATGTATGTTGTAGCAGGGCCATCCATAGTTCCAAGTTGTCGGACTGTAACTACCATCTCCGACGACCACCCGCATAACGCAACAGGGAGCCTAAACAAAGGTTCGACTAGATTTGTGGGGTGGCGGGTTAACACTGCGACGAGACGACACCTGTGACCTGGACGACGCAATCAAACCTGCCGTTTATATCCGTATGCACACATATTCATGAAGACAGCCAGCCACCCCTGTCGCTACACACGCGCGCACACAGGTAGGATTGGCACGCGCGTGTGTATGCGTCTGTGGGACGTTCTGATTGGTCAATCCGTGTGCGGAGTCATTAAACTTGGCGGATGAGCATGACAAGAGACTGCTCAAAAACAAGTAATTTATTTCATTGGCGTCCTTTACGTCCTGCGAGGGCATAGTTATTAGTTTCATAAAATTTTCTCCACTTAAGAGAAAAAGGCAGCAGATCACGCATAAGAAGACATTTCGATCTTCTCTCTTTCTGGTTTGTTCGTGTTGAGTACACCCTCTCTCGATCATGCACAACAATATTCGATATTTTAGTTGTGTGGAACTAATGTCGTTAACAGTACCCTCATCTGAGCGGACAAACAGTCAAGTCCTTCCTACCGTTTGATTCTTTGCAAATTAACATTGACTGGAGTTGAGCTTGGGAGAGGTGCTCAATTTCAAAATCGAGAATCCTTACATGATGTAGATGTGTAAATTGGTTGCACCTTCCCGATTATTCAGTTAGCGCTATAGTTATTTATTTAACTGCGAAAATCATATTTATTTATCATATTAATCGATTTTTTATTCGTTGTCGTTGATCAGCCTTTAAAATTAGTCAATTTCTGAATAAAATAATGCCTGATCTGCCGTTGCATTTACCAAAGCGTACAAAATGTGCGTACTTTCGGTGTTAGGGAGAGCATGCATCACCAGGCGAAGATGAGGAAACTGTTAGGCTCATATTCTCATCTGCTATATTTATTGGAGAAATTGGGTGTAGGTCTTATCTCTTAGCTGCTGATACCATTAGAGGAAATAGTAAATTTTCGGAGACAGGAGATGTCCTGTGAAGACCAAACTCGGGTTAGATACTGTAGTAAATATAAAGTTAGCCTGAAAACGGCAAGTGGCACTACGTTGCGACATGGAGGCACTGTAGAACATGACCAATTTTCTAAAAATGTCTGTTTAACCCATAAATTTAGTATTTACTCGATATAGTTTGGCACAGCACAATAGGTGCTGATTCCCTACATGCATCTACAGTCCGTATTATAGTATACTATTTACTGGTCTTAGTAGGTACGATTATTAGGATTATTACTGGAATATTACTTCTAGCAGCGGTATCCTAGTCGTCATATTCCGAATTAAGTAGTCCCTGACGCATCTTTTGGGGGATAGAGGTGAGAGGGCGAAAAACAAGGCGAGCAATGATGTGCTCTGGGCCTCGAACATAGACATATTCGGGATAGCGTAATTCCACTTTCACACACCTTGTTAAGGTCGAGAGGATAGGGGCCCCAGCGTTGACTTAAGTTAGCGGCATCTGTGATTAATATTAGCGTCAGCAATATTATCAGTAATACTAACTG